TCGATGCAATTTATAATCACACATATTTAAAATATTGTTTTTGCCATATATTCGTATAAGAATAGATTTTGAGAATAATAATGAGTAAAAAAAGAAATGTAGCAGACAATGTCTTGGTAAATTGTGACCAGAATTTAACTCAGACATAGTAGGAGAATAGAAACTAGAAAACAACCGTTGCTAAACTCTGTCCCTGTTATGAAATGTCTATTAAAAGACACAACTAACGAGCTTTAAAAGACAGTCTTATTATCGGATGATTCTAGAAAAAGAATCTAAAATTAAATCAAGCATAACAAATTACGTTTTAAACGTGACCTTTGTGCGATACCCGATTTGAATAATGGCTATGTTTGCACACGTGGATCTGATACACGTGTTATTATATTAACGTCTTGTTCTGCTTTCAAATTATAGGTGATCTGACAATGGGAATAATATTCCAACATTTTCAGAATAATATTCTACTAAGTTCAATTAAATTCCATTTCTTCCTTTTCGTCTTCTAGTTCATTTAAACAACTTCCCATATTATAACTATTTTATTCAAATTGTTATTCTAGATGTGGCGGCATTATGCCAGCACAAGTATTATAGAAGAAAATAATTGCCCAGCACTGTAAATGAAATAGGGGACCTTGCTTATATCGCCTATTCTTAGTGTGAAAGGACCCTATCAGCCATACAATGTCATTTAAGTATTTTTAGAATTCGATTTAATCTAAGACAACATAGAAATCGTGACATTACATCCTACGTTTGATATCTAATTCTTAGAGAATTATCGGAAACCTATTTTCAGCACAGAAGATACATATAAACGTCTGTTTTAGATCTAATATTATCACTTCAACAGTAAAATTGTATTCTTAGAGAACTATCGGAAACCTATTTTCAGCACAGAAGATACATATAAACGTCTGTTTTAGATCTAATATTATCACTTCAACGAAACCAATTGTCACTTCAACCAAACCAATTATCCAATTATCACTTCCTCACTTTTATCAAACCAATTATCCAATAATCACTTCAACGAAACCAATAATTCAATAATCACTTCAACGAAACTATTTTCATTTCATTTCATTCAATTGATTGACACTCATACAAATAAAAAATAAAACCTTACCGTGAGATGTTTTCAAATGAAATGTATTAAAACGTCACATTTTTCTGCACCGGTTCGGCTAATGAAGGCAGACAGACACCATATTATAATGTGCATTGAGGGACATTTTGTCTACTGCGGCGCCATCAAACTGACAAGGATTATTTTAGGTGCACAGCTCCTCGTTTATTTGTACCATCCTAACGACTAAACACTATATTTGTCAAGCCCTCCATTCTGTCAGAAAATCCGGAGAAACTTTCTGGGCAAACACCGGGAGAGTACACTAGACCTCATGGTTAGCGATCCAGTGTCTCATTCAATGAGCCAATCTTTATTTCAAACCGATAATATCGGGTCATGATCATGTTCCTATTTGTGAGTGACTGACAAGGATAGAGAGTAAGAGAAATGGACACCAACCAGGTCATCTCGAGACAGACATATTGTATATCTTCATTTCATTATTTAGAAGTGTGTGGAAACATGACTACCCAGAGAAAACGGGTCAACTTCATTTTTATCATATCCTATGGCATCTGATAAACATTTAGCTGCATTTAAAGGAGCCAAGTCTTTAACTCAATATCATCCACAGTCTTCGATATTGCAGACAAGACTTATTGGTTAATTGAAATCAACTAGGCTGTTGTTATCTTCTGTTATCCAATATTTAAGACAATATCAAAGATTTAAAATTGAGACACGAATGGCGTGCCATAATGCTTTCGAACGCCAGCTGTATGAAGTGACTCGATGAACGAGGCTAAACATATCCAGTGTAGGAGAATACTACCGGTGTATACTGAAATGACCAGACACCAAAGAATGTCAGTCTACTCAGACTCTTCGCGTATTTCGCCGAACATAACGGATTAGAAATTATAGTAAAAACAGAAACGAATGAATGTAAATCAGTTTATATATATTCATATTACATTATCATATGTGTTGCGACCCATTTGTGTCCATTTCTAGGTGGCAAAGAATAGCGATTTAGCTCCTTTAAATGAATATAAATAAGTAGCAGTATCAGATGTTCCAGACAAAACAAGAAGACTGGGCCATCAAAATCTCCCGCAGGGATAAACATATCTATGTAGCCGTATCAGATATTCTAGAAAAGAAAGATGAAATGAAAGGAAATATGAGTTCAACGTCCTACTGTTCTCATCCAACTTGGCTAATGAAGACAGACCTACGTCATACAGTGTGCTATGAGTGAAATTCTATGCGTTGTCCCTTGCCAGGCGCTCTATCCTGCACGACTGACAAGAGGGTACCAGGCCGGAAAATATCGCTGAATTTTCTCGACCAACACCGGGATTCAACACGTGACCTCCACGTTAGCGAGTCAACATCTTACTCTCTGAGCCACTACGGCTCCCGGCATAGAAAGAACAAGACGACTCAGTTAATAAACACCCCGCGCAGGGATAGACAGATCTCAGTGTTATTAGTAATCAACAATCGGATTCTTGTTGTATGTTATGAGATGTACACGAATATCAAATAAAATGCTAGCTAGTTACAGTGGACATAACTGAGTTCGTTTACGAACTACCACTACTGCTTTTCTGCTTTTTAGAATTACATTGTGAAGAATATCAATGCTTGAGAATTCATTATAGTCGCAAAAAATGTTTTAAAATCCGGGGCATTACTGGTTCTCTCAGAGAACGCGTACATGGAAGATTCGACAATGTAGTGACATATGAGAATATATTATAAAAAAACAATGAAATAAGACCAGGAAAAGTAATCGCCTACGATCAGCGCGGCAACAGAGCGTTAATCAATCGAACATAAATTTTACACACAACATAAATCATTTGTTTTGATGTCACTCAAAACTGGTTTAATAAAAATAAATATTTGTGTCGCTTTCAATTGAGGTATTATCGGGGGTATAAATGAACGTGGCACACAGATTATGGAATCAAAAGGTATCAGAATACTGCTTGCTGATGTTCAAATTGATTCTGACAACTTGATCAAATATCATTTTATGGTTATTATTGAATATAACGACTCCAGTCCACGAATTTTTTACACTTTAACAGTTACAAATTTCTGGATTTGGGCTTTCTTTTAATGTGCACAATGGTTCATGTTTGATAATGTTTGGAAAATATGCGGTCTAATTTTCAATGATATTCGTGTATGACAAATAATGTGTGAATATACAGTTTATCCGTTTGATTGTTCTGCAAACTTCTAGTGATTAATAATTCCGGGCATATCTTCATTCATTTAATGAGTATTAATGAGTCTTGTAGGTGTTTATATCATTTTATTTTGTTTTCAGAATATATATATATATATTTATTTATATATATTTATATATTTAGATGGTGTATTAGTGGCATGCGATGAATCAATTCATAAGTCGTGATTTATTGACTGAGCAGAGTCTAACAAAAAATAATAATTATTCACGCTCTCTTTTCTATTTCTTTGTGTAGGTGGGAAGAATATTTATTAATTCTAAAGTTTGAACAGCATCGACTAAATAATTGGATTCGGCATTAAGCTTTATCAACACTTTCTTAATACGGATGCAAAGGGTAGGTCTTCTCGTTTATTTTTTAAATATACCTTTTTATATTGATGAAACTACTGATATAGTGTTGGTAATGTGAAGAGGTACTAATCTTAAAGATACAGTTTCTGAAAAAATAAATTCGTTGTTAATTTATATCAGAAGCACAAAAAGCATTTGTTATTTGACGATACCGTATCTTGTATGGTGGCCACGTAAAATTATCGAACTGTTTGTTGGGTTTATGTGCCGGTTAAATTAAATAAGACTTTCTTGTCGGCGCATAACATTTCAAGATATTATTATGACAAAATATGTTTTTCTAACCCATACATGGTGGTAAAACATGGCTTTTCTTCAACCCAGTCAAGGTGACATCTATCAATTTTTAGTAAGAATTATTAATGGATCCTTTTTAATGATTGTTTTATAAAAATGAGTTTTTTTAATCTCAAGGTCCGCCTATTTCATAAATACATATTTGCCATTAACCGTGACCGTTCCAGAGATTGTTCTATAAGGGTCATTTGAAAAGTCCTATCGAGACCTTCGCGATTTTCTAATTTACGGTCTGTCTGGGATTAGCATTCTATTTCAACAGAAAGAGGTTGCTAACCATAAAGGCTTGTTATCGCTCGTATGTTGAGAGTTGTAAAAATATGTATGAGCAGATTTAAATTCATGGGTTAATCCGTCCGGCTATATGGGTGGCGAACTAGAAAAATCCTACTGAAATGCAATATATTTCGACCGCAACAAAAAGAAAACTTATTTAAAATTCATTGTTTTAAACTTTGTGAATTCTATCGGAAACACATTAAAACAAATGATAACTGGGACTTATTCACAATGAAGTAAGTATAGTGCCTGCATCGAATGCTTGAGTCGATACAGAATTTTGCCGTTGCTATTTGAACCAAAGCAAGAAAAATGTAACCGCACATCTGACAGTATCTTCGACAACCGTATTATTACTTTTAATAACCAACAAACTCATTTGGACATAATATAGCGTTAGTATACTTTTATGATTTCAAGTGAAGGCAATGCAATATTTTACGACTTACTTGGATGTGACGGCGATTTAGAGATAGTGCAAAGTAGATAGTTCTCGGTGTGCAGAATGGGCCAATGGCTTACATTCGACAATGCTAAATATACTCCTAATTAATACTTCGTTCGTCTTTTAACCTTTCAACATCGAACTCAAACAAGAAAATTATATGAGAGACGCCAACCAAAATACGTGACTGTGAATAAAATCGCGGCTTCTCAAAATAGACTATATGATTACGGTGTGTAAGTCATATAAATGCACCAGATGGACACAACTCGCATTTACAAAATGTTTGCGGCTTGTCAAAAGAGTTTGTAGTTTACGGCGTGTAAGTCATATAAAGGCACCAGATGGACACATCTTGAGGGTAAAATCTCTCTATGCCGTGGGAACAAGACAGTAAACAGGGTATATTTTTAATGAAGTACTTTCGACAGAGATCGTGAGTTTACATGCCTGTTGAGGATTTTACTTTTAGCTTTTAAACGCAATACAAAATGGGGGAAATGACGTGTATTGTCCAGTCAACATACAACTCTTTGGGCCAGGATCTCGGGTCCAAGAGCTGCTCATCGTGTAGGTGTTGTTCTTCTACGAAAAATGTCCAAGGCTCCGCTAATTCATATACAATTGACACTAACTGGACATACTACCATATGTAAGTCCCTAAATGACCTAGTTTGTGTCTAGTGGAGGTTAACACATGACCCTCTCTCTCTCTCTCTCTCTCTCTCTCTCTCTCTTATAGCTATACCCTCGTATATAGTTAAGTCACAATTGGTTTTGACATTTAACTTCTTTGGTCTTATTTGTAATAATCCAATACGATATAATGTTCTAATCCACCAAAATGTTATTTGCTCAAAAAATAAATGTTGACATTTATATTTTTTCCTACTTTCAACCAAACGCTGTGACGATGAAAAACATACAGGAAGCATTGCCACTCAGCGTCAAATATCTTCCTTCATATATCGAAGAGTTCGCTTTGTTCCAAATGGCAGTGTATCTCATGTCTGTCGGTCACACATTTTTGGGACACCTCCTGCTTATTAGATGAATGCCCTGACGGTTAAGCAATTTAATTGGTGAATATCGTTGATAGTGGTGAATATCGTTCCATCCATCAATATCTTACAAATGTTCGATAATGAGAACCCTGCTATTAATTGAGGTAAAATGTAAGTCCATGAAGTGAATCGCTTGACTGAATATAAAGACAAAGATTTTCCGCTAAATCTTGGTAATTACATTGGTGACTAATATAGGTTGGGACACGAGTACTTTGATAAAACTTGGTGCATAGTTTCACTACATCAAAACTTTGACTATGTTCGATATCGAATATTTTCTGGACTAATTATGGATATAGTTTGATTTCTCGACGCATTACATAGATATGCACTTAATTAATATTTACATCTATTTGTTATTGGGATGTCGGAGGGGAACATCAGCTTCGCTATTGCAATGTTTTCTTTAAAGTTTTGAAGTCTGTCTTTGAGTAAAACTCCAGATTCTCGGTCCCGATTCAAGTAGTTACCATTTCAGAATTTTCAAAGTAGCACTATAAGTAACAAATTCCAAAATAGTTAAACAATTCCAAATCTATAAACGTACCACTCAATAAGTAACAAATTCAAAATCTACAAAATACAGACAGGTTCAAGTTAGTATTGAATCCCGTTGATCTGGTATGTTGTTTCGATTTGTGACAGGTTACAGGACGTGTATTCATTTAGTTTTAATTTTGAATAACGGTGTATAATCTTTAAAGGACCTAAGTCCGTAACTCAAAATCCTCCAAAATCTTCGACATCGAAAACACGAATTATTGGTCAATTTAAATCAAGATTGATGTTCTAAACTTACCGGGAAAAGATGAGCTTCTGATATCCGATATTTAAGATAAAATACTTTTTCTAACATTGGTACACGAAACGTGTACCATAATGCGCTTCAGCCCCAGTTGTATTGAGAGACTCGAGGGACGAGGCTAACCACATTGCACCAAATCAAATGGAGTTATGTAGACTAGAATAACTAGACGCTAGAAATTTGCACTCGATTGAGATTGCTGACTTATTTCGCCGAACATAACTGATTTGAAATTGGAGTAAAAACGGAAACCATTAAATGTAAATCAGTTTATATACATTCATATTACAGTATTATATGCGTTGCGACCCATTTTTGTCAATTTCTAGGTCCCAAATGTTAGCGATTTAGCTCCTTTAAGTGATTGTTTTCCCATAGATATTGTGCTGTTAATAACTGCATCATTACTGTGGAACATAAAATTGTAAAATCGCAACGCTGACTTGATCCATGGACTAATAACATCCTATCATTAATATCAAAAATATCAACAATAATATCCAAAGGTATGTTAATATTATTTGTTTTACACGAAATCAGATTATTAAGAGCATTATTCTTTACAATGTATATTTTAGATGTGGCCTGATTTAATGCAGATTTTAACAGTAACTTCAATATGGATGATACCAGTAGTATTGTCTTTAGGTATGTACAATCTTACTGCTATTACCACCGCTTCATTTGTACCCTTTTCTCACTTCAACGAACTGAACGTAAGACTGTTCACATTCCAAATGAGTTGGGTTTAGCGTCAGAATTCGGGCGATATTTTCTTATTTGATGATTTTGCATAGTTGATTGGTAAAATAAGCAATAGGCGTTGCCATGTTTTCACAAGTTTCAAATTCAATATCATGTTTGATTTGTGGCTACAAACCATTATAAATAACTAGGCACAATGTTTTCTTTTGGCTGTACAATGCAACCAACAGTTAAGGAAGCAAAACCGACGACGTGATAATGGATTCATTACTAAACTACAGCGAAACAGTATTTACTGGCGGCTAATCTGGTATGAGCTCCCGTTTTAGGCTTCTAGGTATAAACGCCATCTAGAAAAAGCAGCAGCACACACAGTCTTTAACATTGAGACACAATGGAAAGCTGTGGTTATTTTTTGTAATCTGAAATGAAAAGTCCGCTTGCTCTACACAAATCGGAGTAATGAAGGCAGGCATATGACATGCATTGTGCTAGAAGTGAGAATTTGCCCGCAAAGCGGCGCTACGACCTACTCTTATTTCGAATTCCAGCTGGCAATGGTTGTTTTACATGCACGGTATGAGTAGATGGGGTCTCGCTTTCTGTTCCATCCGAACCACTAGACACTGTTCCTTACCAGTCCCTACCCTGGAACACTGACAAGGGGAAAGCACACAGGTATATCGCGCGGACCTCCTGGTTAGCGAGACAACTCATAACCGACTGAGTAACATGTAAACGGAAGTTTGCCATGCGGCTCTATACACTTGTGGGGTGTTCGATCCCTGCATTGGCCGAGAAAGTTCATCCAGATTTTCCGGCGTGGTTCCCCCTTGTCAGTGAGGTCCTGTGTATACAATGGAATGCACGTAAAAGATCCCTTGGCAGTTGGAATTCGATATAAAGGTAGGCGATAGTGCCGCTGCCCGGGCAAAATTCCCCTCATTGCACACTGTATGGCGTATGCCCGTCTTCATTAGCCCAGCATAGGAGCAGAACAGTAGGACGTTAAACCCCATTTCATTTCATTTCATTTGACACAGAGAAAGGCTTAGCAATGAGATGAGAGGCACATTATGGACTTTTTTTAAATACATTACACGACCTTTGAATGTAACGGTTTAAATATCAACATCTGTTAATGTTTTATTTCATTTACATCAGAAATTCCTGAATCACAAATGGATGAAACGTTAAGTGATGTGGATTATTACGATTTAGTAAAAGTGGCTAACGATGGTGATGATCGGCCTCCATCGATCAATATACCAGATGTCTTCAATAACGCCTATGCTCGAAACACATTAATGCAAGTTGGATTAACAAGGGTTTATGATGCCTTCAGACAAAAGAAAAGTAAATTTCCAAATCATCATGAACGAAGAGTTATCGGTAAGTGTTGAGAACTTATTCTTCTGAACTCCATTGGCATGCGAAAAATATTCGTGTAATAATAACTAAAGCCAATCAATCGGAAACACCTATCCATTATTTGAACTAGAAACTGGTTCCCAAGTACTACCCATCTTCTCCGATCGGCAGCGATTCACATATTTCGATTTTTAATACGACATGACAATTCCAAGATGGCGACAATGGCGTCAATCCTGGTTCCATATGGTACTGTCGTGCTTGTTAAATTTTCTTTAATCAAGATTATTCAAATTATTATCCCCTGCATAGCGGGTAAACACAGGGTTCGCTGTATCAACACATGTACCATTCGTTTGACAACAGGTATTGAATTTGCTGGGTATATCATATCCTAATCGCATGGTATGCCCATTTCTGCTACCCTCTCAGAAAGGTCCGCGGCCAAAATATTGAGAGAGCCGAAAATTGTGATATCAACTTTTATCCAGTTCCATGACTCACATTGTATTTAATTTAATCACCAGTTGATTATACCCATTATGCCACAATTCTGAAAAACTAATATTTTTGATATTGTGGATTCGAATATTTTATAGCAATTCCATTTTCTAAGACTATTTTACTTCCCAGATTACCGTAGGCCACAGCTTTAGCCTACATGTATATCGTATTCATTTGCATCTTATGGCAGTCCTGTACATTACCGTAGGCTACAGCTTTAGCCCACATGTATATCGTATTCATTCTACATCTTATGACAGCCCTGTAAATTACCGTAGGCTACAGCTTTAGCCCACATGTATATCGTATTCTACATATTGTTGCAGTCCTGTAGACACTTTCCTGGGAAGAGGTTATTCGTAACCACGGTATTGGGACACTTTTCATAATAGACAAGAATCTTCAGTGATCTAGGGTTGGGGTATCTATTTTTCAAGGAAATTTACCTGGCAATCGTAATTCACAATGCAATATTATTAGCAAATACATGTGCAGCAATTACGAGGTAATCACAATTAGTAAATATCGTATTTTAAGTGGAAATTTGTATTCGTGGACACTCTTCCCTATTCTCTGTGAATATTGTTCTTGAACAATATGTTATCTTTTCTTACGCTTTGTCATCAGATATTAAAGGGAACTGACACAAACATATACGCCCGAGTGGGTTTCTGGCGGAAACTATTTCTGCCAATAACTTCTAAAAAAATCATTCGACTTAAATTACGTGGTCATGTAATTTATTTTGAAGAATTCGAAGAACAATTAATATTTTTGTCCTTGATTTGATGGTACTAATATTTCAAAATAAAGATATCGCGCCAAGTGACTTTTGGTTTAGTTTCGCATAATCTCTGTACACTATACTATAAAAACCAAGATTCGGCCAAAACATATGCCCTTCTAAATAGGTGGACAGTGGGCATATAATATAAAAAAATTAAATGCAACAAGAACTGATGTTTCTGGTATTTTGCTTTCTTTTTTACAGTTGGAGGTATTTGCTGTAATGGAAAAAGGTAAAAAAAATCAAATGAATTGTATATAACCCGTAAAAAGATAACATTTTGTATGTAATCTTTAAATGGTATTTAGTAACTGGATAGAGTTATGTACGTATATTAAATGGTACACGGACAGCTGTCTAGTCCTTCGTATGAGACGAAAAACCGAGGTCCAGTGTATACATTGGAATGCACGTAAAAGATCCCTTGGCAGTTGGAATTCGATATAAGAGTAGGCGATAGTGCCGCTGCCCGGGCAGAATTTCCTTCATAGCATACTGTATGGCGTATGCCCGTCTTTATTAGCCCAGCATAGGAGCAGAACAGTAGGACGTTAAACCCCATTTCATTTCATATCATTTAAATTTTTAATCTAGAGTAAAACAACCATCTGGATAATATGATCACTTCCGGCATAACTATTTAGGCTTGGTCGCCACAGCTTATGTAATGTAACATACTCATGTCTCGAGACTTTCACTTATAAAATAAACCATGTTAACCCGATTGCCAAAAGGTGAGTTGTGACGTCTCTGTAATAATATGCGTGTTGAGGTAATCTAGATAATATTACGTAAAACTCGCTATCGTCCTTTTAATAGAAGGAAGATACCAAGGCATTAGTGTGCTAATGCCTGGCTTTCACATGGGCTACGAATTTCACGAATTGTCCCAAATCCAAACTTTTTCCGATTCCTAGATAAATCGTAGACGGGTCTTGAAGTTCGTGAATGATTCTTATTTGGTGCTTATACACATTCGTATTGTTCGTAGCTCGACCACGAACCTTTTTGATTGTCAAAAACTTTCGTTGTCGATCTACGAATTTCGGAATGCCTAGATTTTGAATTCGCGGGGGAATCGTGATTTGTTCGGCAAATACGGCAACAATTCGTGGGGTGGTGGGGGTATTCGCAGTTAAGTCGTGACAGATTCGGGATATTCTTGCCTGTTTCGACGACGTTCCGTGAATTTTAGGGAGCCACGAATGACCACAAATTTCACAGAATAGTATAGGAAGCTGTTACGGACGATAAGAAAAGATTACGACATGTTTACGAATTAAATTCGTAGCAGTTTGTCAAAAACTTTCGGTCCGAGCTCCGAACTGCTACGGACAACACGAATGTGTAAGAACCAAATAAGAATCATTTACGAACAGTCTACGATTTGTCTACGATATATCTACGAATCGAAAACAAGTATAGATTCGGGACGATTCGTTGCATTATTCGAGGAGATCGTAGTGTATTCGTAATTGAATTCGGTATATTTGTAAAGAATTTGGCTTATTCTTAACTGAATCGTTACAATCCGTAGACGATTCTTTCATTTAGTAGGCTACCTTTGTCGTAACCCTGGACATTCGGCATATTTTTCACCTGATTACCCACGAATTATTGTAACTCTTTCGTAAACTATTTGTAACTGCTTGGTAGCTACTCCCGATTCTCCACGATTTGTTTTATTTTTTTTTTTTTTTTTTGCCGAATCGCCACAAATTTCGATTAATTTTGATTCAACACTATCGTAGCCCACGTGAAAGACGGGCATGAATTACATATGCCTTGCTGACCTAGACTAGACACAAGCCGAGTTCTCCCAGAAATAATCATATCAACGAGACAATCGTTTACGAACGCGTCAACATGTACACGCGACGCAGACCCCCCCCCCCCCCCCCCCCCGTGAACTATAAGATGCTCTTCCTTGCCTCACATTTGTACTGCCAAGGGGAGAGCTAGTTACTTCTGTAGGGATTTTCTCGGCTGTAGCCTCTACCCGTTACTGGCTAATGCTATAGACAACTAATATGAAAACAAGGCTTTCCCCCATCTAAGGCTATTTTGGAATCCTTACCGTCCATTGTTTACCGTGATTCTTCTTTGCTCGCCATAAGGAATCATTTCTTGCCACATCCGACAATAATTTAGCGATCCAAAAACAAAAACAAAATTCGTTTGAATTGATCCACCATTATGAAACTCGCGCTGCCCCAGCAAGCTATACCGTAATTTCAAATAGTTTTTTCTCTAGTTATATGGGTTATAATCTGTGATTAAATCTCTTTACCTCATAAAGACAGGAAATTAATGCCAACTGAGTGGACCGAAAAGATATAAGATTTTAATGAATGCTCTTTTCTTTTTCAGGCAAGACCCGAAGATGAGAGCGAGGGTTATTCGGCGAACTATCTTAATGAAGCTGTTGCAGCAGTTACGCAAAGGTATAATTAGACTGTGTCTGCTTCGTAAACAGAGAAAACAAGTGTAAAATTAAGAGGTATGACCCTTAAATAGGCATACCAGAGTTTATATTATGTTATTATAAATCTCAAAGAAACTGTTCTTCTACTTAAAGATACCATTAAAGATACCATTACATGGGCGAAGGGTGTGTGTGGGGAGAGGCGGTACCTGAGCTGTTGATAGCGACAGCGGGGCTTGTTCGTCCACATAGAAAGACATTCAGCAATCAAATGTATCACCGAATGTAATGAAATAAGAATAATATCCAGTGCGGCGCAAATCCCAAGTCGTGTGCGTGGGTAGGGGTGGCGGGTCCTTCCGCAGACATTATTGAAAATTGATTCGATTTGGTGCATTTTGGGGTATATTCCGAGCGGGTAACTCAAGTTAAATAAAATTTAAATAATGAACATTTATTTGTATTAAGGTATCAGTTTCAACCAAGGTTCGAATCCCAATCACTAATAAACGGCTATACGGGAAGCCTTTAGCCAAAAAAAGCGATCAAGTTATTCAGAATCTTGTACTTAACGTGGGGGGTGGGGGGATATTTGTCCCACTTGAACCTCCCTAGATCCGGTAATGGTGGTACATTTTGGACCAGGCAGGTCGTTGTAAAGCAATGCACTATTTGACAAAGTTGGAGTACTAGGTGAGATCTATGCACCAGTAAAATATGTATTTGCGTAAATCAACGCATCTAGGATCTAGACCGAATGTAACCCCCCCCCCCCCCCCAAAAAAAAAAAAATTAAAAAAAATGTATAAACCCGTCTAAAGTTAGTTTGGCATCCTATATCAATCAAGATGCTAGATTGATCTGACATACTACATATTTGAGTCAAGATCTATCCAGCATTTGGACTAACCCTCCCAGTATGACATACAGAAATAATGGTATCCTGTCATTAGTGCCGTTTATCCAAATATTAGCTATAACAATTTCGTAACAATTGAAATAGATTAATAAGATGCTTGAATGGCAACGCCGCTACTGTGGAAGTATGTTGAGGATGTGGCATCAAACACATTTAAAGTGTAATAATTATTTGTTTGTGAACTGTTTATTTTTAGCCACTGAAGCACAAGAAGAAATGTATGATCAAATGGAATGGGAGAACCCTTTTTTTTAATTAAATTAAATGGCAGATGAAACCGGTCGAGACTAAAATTTATATTGTAAACAAAGGATTATTATTAAAGTATACGAACTATATTTTTAAGGATAATCATTTTTAAAATCGTGTGGTTTTGTGTTTTCATTTAAAGTAGCTAAGTCTCTAACTCAATATCATCTAAAATCTTCGACATTGAAAACACGATTTATTTGTCGGCTTAAATCAACATTGATGTTGTGATCTTGCCGGGAAAAGATGGCCTTCTGATATCCAATATTTAAGACAAAATAAACATTTTACAATTGGTACACAAATCGTGTACCATAATGCGTTTCAGCGCTATGTGTAATAAGGGACTCGAAAAACGAGGCTAGGCATATTCCACAAGTCATATCGGCGTAGACTGGAATAACCAGAAGCTAGAGATTGAAATTCGATTGAGAATACTGGCGTATGTCGCCGAACCTAACTGATTAGAAATTACAGTAAAAACAGAAACGATTGAATGTAAATCAATTTATATACATTCATATTATATTATTGTATGCGTTGCAACCCATTTGTGTCAATTTCTAGGTCCCAAATATTAGCGACTTAGCTCCTTTAAAGTTTTATCTTTTATTTTGGTCAAAAGGTCTTATAAGGCCACAATTTATGCGGGAGTATGTTATTGTCGATTGGGGGGGGGGGCACCGAAACCCTATACACGCGCTTCGGGCCAAACATGTGTATGTAAGGCCAAAGGGGGAACCTATCAAAGCCTTGTAAACGCTCTATATACAGATTTCTATTCCATGCCAGGACTGATCCGGAAAGGGCCCATGGAAACATCAGAGGCTATAACTTTCCCCAGAAACCTTGAAAATGCTCTACATTACAGAGTGTTTAGTGGTTGTCAAACTTGTTTGGTAAGTCAGACTCACACATCAAAATTAGACTAGCGATTATTTGCCCATTGACTTCAATGTTAAATGGCTGTAACATCAAAGATGTAGCGTTTTGCTCAACATTCCGTTGGTTCCAATCTTTATAGGCACAATGGGGACCACATTTGGCAATCTCCTCATCATAATTTTGTAGGGGTTGACTGTTTAGATTTTTTGCTACGGGGATTTGATGTTCACTGGGGTCAAAATCTCACTTCCAACATAATGATTTCTCTGCAGAAAGACACTTTACACCCCCTGTCCCTCCGCTGTAATATCCTCAGTATTACCTAAACCTGCTATAAAATTGCAAATTTGATCAATTTTCTCCAATTCTAGACCAAAAAGTCAACTAAAAATAGCAGGAAGAGGGGAGAAAGAATTAAGGGAAAAATTATCTATTTATAACTCGCACTACATGCGTCCATCATGAAATAAAGGGAAAGAAGTACTAGTCTTAGTCCTATATACCCCCCATGTTGCTGCTGTCTGAACAAATCTGTTGTTATCGAATAAACAAACATATATGCAATGCATTGGCCAAAGGTTATGAATATCCATGCATTTTCTGATGAGCAGTGCGGCATTCTGCAAACACTATAATACATCAGAAAACTGTGGAATTTCAGACAGAAATTTAAAAGTACATGAATTTTGAATTCCACAGAACATCTTTATTTTTGAACATAAATGCATTCTGTAAAAAGATGCGATAAATTCAATATACATCAAACAATAAAATACTTTAAAACGGTAATCGTGATGCAATATTGGACTGTTTATCACTTTCATCGAAAACCACACAGTTTTTGTTTGTTAACATAGTTTCGGGTGCCAAACTGTGGTTGAAACATGCAGTGCCTATGAATTTTAAAGCATTTCCTACATAGCTGTATTTACATAGGACAATTAAGTTGAAATAATCTGAATACATGTATGTAACACTGCAACATTTTTTTCATCCCCACCTCCAGTATGGAATCTGGTACGTGGCTAACCAATCATAGCTATTCCTGTTCACTTTAGCCTGTCAAATGGCGGTGGTACCAAAAACTTTCCTGATATGCACAACCGTCAAAACACAAGCCATTTATGTTATCTTCCAATAGGTGAGACCATAATAAACACAGTGGTGTCCTTTTCAAGCTCGGAAAAGAAATCAACACCAAAAAGCAAAGTTTACAGAGGTCTTCGGCTGGAACCCAAACCGATTACGACTTGCCCTCCATTTCCACAGGTGTCACAGAGATCAGGGATGAAAATGAAATGTATCATCGTTCTACTAAAGCCAGTCCGGAAAGTAATCGGGTTTTGAAATGTAGATCTGAAAAGTTAAATTTGGATGAGAATGAGAATTCTGGCGCGAATACTAACCAGGGAAACGGATCATAAACATCCAGAAAATGGTCAAAATGTGGAATTCTGGCATTCAGTAACATGCCCAGGTGAGAAGAAATGCCTGTGCAGTACCAAATTTCCAGCCTGTCAGTGAGCAGAAGTGGGGATCAGGTTAGATGTTCTTAGTAAAGTGTACGAAATGCACATTTATCTCACCTGGAGATACTTCTGTTGAGATCAATCATTCCACTCTGTGGAACATTACCCTGGCACCTGAAATGATAAAAAGATGGGAATAAATATGCAATAAGAAAGAAAAAAAATGATATGTGGCTGAATAAGAAGGGAGACCTCCCGTCAGTGGCCCTCCAACAAGAAACCATTTAACAATCAATAAAAAAGTAAACCTTGAGTGTCACATAAGCCTATCTCAAAGGTAGACACCATGTTTTGAGGTTAGGTCTAAATATTAAGGCCAACTGCAGAATTGGCCAAAAGTCACAACATGAGCGTGCATTTTAGAGTGTAAATGTTAACATTTCGTTGCATGATGTCAAAACATGTTAGGTCTAAAAATTAAGGCCAACTGCAGATTTGGTCAAAAAGTGTTAGGGAAAATGATTTTTGATAAGATTGTGAGTTAGGTTTAAGAATTTGGGGCAGAGGTTAAGTCTCCACATAGTACTGACCTAGGATGATGAAAAATTAGTTCGTGATATTTCCTAGTTTAATTAAAAATAATACATTAGATTTATATACAAAGGTGATTTCACTGTTTTTTGATATTGGTGGCGCTGATGGTCTTCCTTGGGTGGTGCTTCTGGTATTCTGGTATTTTTGTTTCTGAAGAAAACTGATTTAAATTTGAGGCTCTCTCGAGAGAGAGCCACATTAGTGGGTTTCCTACTAAGAATTGGATTTTCTAAAAATGTTTGTTCCACTGTCACCGGGTTAGGGCTAGGGATTCTTATATCTAGTTGATTTTATTTAATAACGGTTAGGGCTAGGATTTGATATATGATTTGTTAGGGTGAAGACAGATCTTATTTAAGATGTCGTTCCGATTTTTATTTTTAGAATATGCAATTATATGTTTCTGTGTGAAGATTTTCGGGTGATTTTCCTAGAGATCAGTATAGTGTTTTCTGATGATTTTGGGCGCACTTGCTGCTCTTGCGCTAAAAGGGACTACAAAAGGGACTATTGGGCTGGCCGTATGGATATTCAAAACTAGGGGAGGCTGTTGTTTTCAATTTGTCAATCCAGAATTTTTCTCTAGTTAGCCCAAACGTTTTAATTTCTTCCCGAGTTTCAAAGTTTCTCTTAGTCTTTTCTATTGGTGTGACAATGAGATCCGAAATGCCATGATTTGGTTGGTAGAAGTGAATTGAGACCGGTTTGTCTTTTTTGTGACTATGTCTGACCGGTGACCGTTAATTCTTTCCCTAAGTGCATTCTGGGTCTCCCCTACGTATTGTTTGTCGCATTTTCTGCATGAAATTAGATAAATTATGTTTGAACTGCTGCATGAAAGTTGGTCTAATATTGGGAACTTTGCGCTGGATATTTTGTTATGGTACTGATCGGATATGATTATGATTTTGCATGTTTGACATCTGGGATGGCCACAGGTTTTGGTTTTAACTGCTGACTACATATTGTTTTTTTCTTTGGCGGCAAGTTCAGCTAGAGTATTGTTTTTTTTACGTCGGAGATAGCGTTTGGAGTATCTCCTTTCTCTTAGTTTGTTAAATACCAGCGTACATGCCGACTCAAAGTCGGCCTTCTGAGTACATATTCTATGGAAACGGAGAATCTGAGATTTTATGATGCCAGAGAACGTATGTTTTTGGTGAAAGGAGCTTTTGAACAGTAATTGATGTGTGTCGGTTTCTTTGAAAAATACTTTAGTTTCCAGTTGGCCAGTGTTATTGGTGTTGCTACTTTTAAAAACGGTGGTGTCAAGAAAATCTATGCTGTTATGACTTACATTTGCGGTTAATTTGACAGATGGATGATGATTGTTCAGAATGTTGAAAAACGCCCAAAATTCGTCTAGTGTGTGCGTTCAGACTATGAAAACGTCCAGAGAAATCTGGTTTTAAAGGACAGAGTGGCAGAACTCCCCTCTCCCACTCCGCCATGAAGAGATTTGCATAGCTCGGGGCAAATCGTTTTCCCATCGCAGTTTCGGAAGACTCGAGGTATACTTGGTCCTTGAAAGCGAAGTCATTCCTCCTCAGACAAAAGTTGAGTAATTTGATAATTTCTTCGTCCGGCCTGGATGCTTGCGGGTTCCTAAGAAATGCCTTCCTAACTGCTTTAATACCTGTGTTTTATCGATGTTCGAGTACATGCTCTGTACGTCGATGCATAGGCGTACGAGCTGTTGGGGTAATAGGAAATGGTCTATATATTGTGATACATTGTATGATTCGCTGCCACAGTCCGATATTATTGGGCGTCCCTTGGGTAATTTATTAGGTATAAATCATTCCGGTTCTGGATTTTTATGTATTTTTGGTAGTCAGATTTAGCTGATAGATAATCATATTGTTTTGCTGTTATGTATTCCTTGTCTTGCAATTCATGTAACATGTTGTTTATTAAGGTTGCAGTGTCCTTAAAGATTGGTTGGTCTAATTTAGTGTAGAGTTTAGGATTATTTAATTGTTTTTCTGCCTCAGAGATATAGTCTGTGCGATTCATTATGAAACAACACGAACCTTTGTCGCTTTTCTTATTTATTATGTTTTAGACTTTTTTGCGGGTGTTTAATGCTGTTTTTGTTGCTCGGTTGAGATTTGGTGCTTGTGGTTGA